GTGCTGCAGTTTTCATTCAGCCAATTCAAAGCATCTGAGGATCTATGCCACTTGCTTAGCCTAGATAGTTCATAATTAGCCTTTTCTAGATTTTCTTGCAAAACTTTATTCCTACATTCAGCATCACAAAGATTATCTTTAGCCTTTTTTAGTTCCTTTTCAATCTTATCTTGCGGATCACTCTTTTTTCCCTTACCATGTGTATCAGGTGACTTCTCATTTTTAGAAGTGAGCTCAAGAACCTGGTTCTTAAGGTCTTTGACATGTCTTTCAAGATCAGCTTTGTCATATTCAAGTTCTTTGATATCAAGTTTGACACATGAAAGATTGCTTATTAACTGATCATTTCCAGCACTCATTTGTCCATTTCACTCATCATGGTTATAATTACGGCCATCAGTTGTTTTTTAGACATAGCATGAATGTTCTATTTCAAGTTAGAGATACTTACCTGATTTGTTTCATCTTCAGTCTCTAAATCGCTCATGGCTATCATTCCTATCACTTCCTCTTCTATTTGGATTTCTTTAATTGCCATCAATCAACGCCACTTTAATGTTTTCATCCCCAAAATCAGCTTCCAAGGTCCTCCATATATCATGGGCAGAGATGCAAGAGGACACCTTATGGAGAATATTTCTGGGAAATCTTCTATAGAGCAGGTTCTTTTTAGAATTTTTCTGGATTAGCTGACGATCTTCATCATCATATTCCTCTTCTCTCTTGTTAAATTTGTTACCTTCACCATCCATTTTGGTAGGATGATTAGTCCATGACTGATAATTGCCCATAGGTCAAAGTCATTGGTCTGAAGGTACGTTTCCATACACATCTTCCATTCATCATAGTGATGTCCGTCAAATAGAGGAGGTCTTCCAATGTGCATGCCAAGCTGTACTGGAGGTTCTGTCTCCACTGTCTGATGTCCATCAATTACAGCATAGAGACTTATGGCCTCATCCTTCTTCTCTTTCTCTTTATCATTTCCAATGTCCTCATATGCTGCTAGAAAGGCTTGTTTCATTGCTTCAGTGAATCCTTTACCTAGGATTTTTTCTTTGTTTGGACACTTTTCTCTCATTTTTTCCCGTTTCTCCTTTTCAGCTCGTTCTTTCCTCCACTCAATTTCCCACATTAGGTAGTCTTTGACCATCTGGTCTAGCTTGCTACACTTGTAGCACCTATCATAAGTAGCTTTGTCGATCTTCTTAGGCTTACCTGATAGAATTTAAGAGTCCACCCAACTCTATAGAGAACCAGGTTCTCTATCAGGTTCAACAGAACACACACACACTGTAGTAAGCAAATGACACAGGAATTTTACGTGAAAATTCCCAGCTCAACGGGATTAAAAACCACAACCTACCCTTGTAGGATTTCAACTTCACTGCTGAGCAATCTTTAGATTACAACCTATTGTAACCTAGGAATTAACCTCTTAATCCCTCACTAACTTGTAACTACACTATTACAAGTCACTTTGTAATAACTCTATTACAAAGACTTAATCACTCACTAACTTGTAGCAACACTATTACAAACCACTTTGTAATAACTCTATTACAAAGACTTCACAACTCGGCTAACTCTAGCCAAGACACAAACACAGGGTTTATGATTTACAAAGGGTTTCCTACACAATGCTTCTAAGTAAGCTAAGTAGGAATAACAAGTAAGAACTTCAAACAAAGATGCTACATAACTAAGGATATATAATAACTCAACATGGGGAACTGGTCTATTGCTATGTTGTTCTTTGTTCTTGATGCCCTTGAGAATCACTTGCAAGATGGACACACACTTGAGAGAATGCTTGATGAGTTCTTGAATGTGCAAGTGATTTGTTTTACCTTTGTTTGATGTTAATATCTCATTTGTGACATCACTTGGATGATGCAAGCATGTTAGGTGAAGGGCATTACCCATAAAGTCAACCGTTGCACTGTTTCTGCACTGTAGCGTGTGCAGGCAGCAACTTTACAACTGGGGGAGTTGACTTGTACAGTCACCTCGGGAACTGGCAGGGACCTGTTCCCTCAGCTGTTCCTTCAGTTGTTCCTTTGACTCTGAAGAGTTGAATTGTGTCCCTAACTGGAAACTTGTTGATCATAAGTTCTTGAGGATGTGTAACAGGTTCCTTATCTGGTTCTTAACAGTAAGTTTGTTAGATCATCAAAACATAACAGGGATACACATATAACCTATCATTACCGTTTTTCTCTCTTTTAGATGCATTTTTGAAGTTCCTCATGAGCTTCTTGAACTTAGCAAACATTGCTAGGTCAGGATCATCACTTTCAGATTTATCTTCCTCAGACGCCTTAAGGACCAAGGCCTTATCCCTCTTTGGTTCTTCCTTGCACAGTTCTATCTTTCTTATTTTATGAGTATTTAAGTTTCCAACCAACTCATCAACTGAGATCTTATCCAGCTCCTTGGCTTCCTGAATAGCTATGACTTTTGATTCCCATGAAGCTAGAATGATCCTTAGAACTTTGCTAACCAACTCTTTTGAGGTGAACACCTTTCCAATTCATTTCAGTTCATTAGTTATTATGGTAAACCTAGTCATCATCCTGGATGGGCTCAGACTCCTTCATGGAGAAGAGCTCATAGTTTCTCATAAGTGATTCTATCCTTGATCTCTTCACTTAGTTTGTTCCTTCATGAGCAATTTGGAGTGCATCCCAAATCTCCTTTGCATTGGAGCAAGTTAATATCTTGTTGTACTCATTAGGACCAAGTCCACAGATAAGGATTTTCTTGGCCTTTGCATTCTTCTCCATCATTTTGAAATCTGCTGCCACAAATTTAGATGGGTCCTTAGGAACAGTTTCATTTTGTGCATTTTGTTTAGTAGGAGTTAGTGGACCTTGGTTCACTATGGTCCATAGTTCATAGTCTTCAACTGTCAGGAAATCTTCTATTCTTGCTTTCCACCAACTGTAGTATTTTCCATTAAACTGGCGTGGTCTGGTAGTTGGTTGTCCTTCGTTAATTCCAAGTGGAGCATTCATTTTGCTTTCAAGATCTCTCTAGGTGTTAGCCGTATGTGAGAGAACCCTCTATGATACCAATTGTTAGTTTGAGTGCCTTTATGGATTACTAAAGAACTCGGTTCTTTACCTTACTCTTTAAATGTAAAGTAAAAATAAGCAGCAAACTAAACACAATAATTTTTACGTGGAAAATCACCCGGCTCAAAAGGTGCAAAAACCACGACCTACTATGTAGGATTTTCAACTTCAACTTCACTAGAACAATGAGCCAAATGTATTGATTACAAAACTGTAACTCATTACTCTCCAATATTCCTACTACAACTATTTGATTTACAAGTTACTCTAACTTGTAAAACAAACACTTACTCTAACTCACTAATTGTTTATGACACTTTGATCACAACTCGATTTCCTAAAACACATTTACTTAGACTGACTCAAGAAGAACACAACACTGGTACTCGACTTGAGTGTGAAAAATGTAGTTCTTCAGTTGATGTGCAAAAGGATAATACCAATAGTCCAGTAGTCAGCTTCTCGTTTAGTAGGACTCCTACTATTTCAAGGACTCCACAAGTCTTGGGACTCTTGTCTCTCACCTATGCATGCGTATCTTCTGGGGCAACAACCCTTATCATGTTTAGCAGTCTTCTTCCAATAAACTCAGGCCTGGGTAACTTTGAGATAAAGTTACTATCTTGCAAAGACGTCCAATCATCAACCTTGAGAAGCGGGTCCTTAACCCTGAAGAGCTGGTTCTTAGAGCGGTTAAGCAACTACGTTGAGGACCTGGTTCTTAGAATATTTCATCTGAGCAAGCTTTGTTAATCATCAAAATCTCAATACTCAACAATAAGGGTTGGTTATGACCTTGTTGGTAACAATTGTGAATATGTATAAAAGGTTAATGTTTCTTCCACGGTCAGTTTTTTAACTATAGAGGCCTTGTTGGCCCAGATTCCATGTTAAAAGGGTCACATATAAACGTTGGTTCGCACGGGTCTTCGGGTATCATGTGCCGGTCGCACCTTCCGAGGTTGAGGTGTGACATTAATCCCTTAATGTGATGTGAAAAGATGGATTACGTCCTTGGAAGGATTGTAGTAAATTATCTTGTTTATTACAAAGATTAACATTTACCTCCATAATAATGTTAAACACTTGCTTGTTTCACAAACTCGTCTTGATTTCTAAATTAAATTGCAAGTTTAACTTATATACATTGATAGTATAAGTAATTTTTATATTTTTAGATTATATAACCTATTATACGGGTAATATATCTTATTTTCAAGAATATAAATCTCACCTTTTATGAAGAATTATATATTGATATTTTGAATTTATCTATGATGTGGATTTTAAACTCTAGACTTATGATTGATCTAGGAATTTTCTTAATGTACTCATGAAGTAAATTGACAGATGGGAAGAAGGAAGAAAAAGAGGAGAATCATTATTGGTGTGCTGGACGTCCCACTGATTCGTTCCACAAAGTTATTAAACTCAATCCGTTTGAAAATTCGATGTTGACAACTCAACCACCAATTAAACCAATCTTTTTCAATCTCCCCTGGCTTGGATATGTTTATTTTGCATGTAGCAGGATATTGCTTCAATGATTTATTTAAGAAAACAAAGAAAACCAAAAGGAAAAGGACAGTATACTCTCTTATTTTTAGAATAAAGATACCTCTATCACATTTCACTTTCTATAAAAGAAGTTCACACTAAAAGCCAAAAAGAAAATAATTAAGCAATGAACATTATTGGGTAGTAGTTGGGAACTAAAAATGGAAATATTTTGGGCCTATATGGTTTGAGAACCCAACAAATAACGCTGGACGGATTAGTTACCTCCTATAGCAATGGTTGATACCTTATTTATTTTAAATAAATACCCTTTTAAAAAATTATATTCCATAGTTACCTTTTGATTTTTTATAGCCAAATATCTATTTATAGTCACCTCCTACCCTTAAGCCATAAAATAAGCTTTGTATTATTTTTCTCTTATATCCCCTCAAATTTCTCCTATCCCCTACCCCATATCTATTCTCCCTCTCTCTACTTCCCGATATCTTCTCCTCCGCCTGCCAGTGGCATTGATATTTTACATTGAAATTCAAGTTTAGATTTGTGCAAGTATACTACAATGGTAGGTAAGAACTTCTTTATCCCCAATTGATTAAATGATTGCGTGCTAAACATACGAATGTATTTTAGGAGTATGTAGACCAAAATAGATGCCGAGAACTGGCCAAGTCATCATCTTTTTAACGCAGGATATATTCAGAGGTATGCAAACAGTCAACTCTGAAGAGTAAAGAGTGTTCTTTTATTGCTTTAGTTTGTATTTTGGAATGAATTTTAGTTACGTTGATATCATGTTCAGCTTTTGCACTATCAAAGAGAAGCCTTAGATCATTTTTTTCCTATTTGTTTTTCAGTAATTGTAGTATGTTCATCTAGAAAAATGTCAAGAGAGATTAATGGTGTTTGCCACCGTCACCATTTCGACCGTGGCCGTTATTCATTGATACCGCCGCCCTCAGCCTCCCAATCTCATTCTCTGACGCAACATATCGGATCAACAAAAACCTCCGTTATTTCGCCGGTAATTACGTGCTAATCGTCGGCAACCAGAGGCAACGGTGACGGCGAGCGAGGACTGGATACTGATGCCGCTTCAACGAGACGACATTAGGGTTGTTCTTGAACAAAGACGACTGAGTTGGAGGCTGAGCAACTTGAATTTTCAGTTAATATATTTCAATGTATTTAAATGTATCTCGCTGTATTTCATTGTATTCATTGTCTTTTTTTTCATTGTATTTCAATGTATCTCGCTGTATTCTACGTATTTCATTGTATTCATTGTCTTTTTTTTCATTGTATTTCAATGTTGTCACGCCCCGAACCTGGGCCTGGATGTAACACGGCACTCGGTGCCTGACTACATGTGACCGAGCGAACCAACCGGGTGGCTAAATCAACATGTGGTATCATAACATACTGAATGCGGAAGATAAATTAACACATGCTGATATACTGAAAGCCTGGATGATATAAATCAAAGTGCGGAAATATTAATACAATTCTGAAACATATTTGTAGCCAACATAGCTTAATATGAAAAGCATGCGATTCTGTCTAACTGTTACTCTATTCTATGAAGCCTCTATTGAAGTGCTGAAAGCACTAACTATCTGTAAATACTGAAAGGCTGTAAAGTAATGATAATGCCCTGAAAGAACTGGGGATCACCAAATAGCTGGTACGAGAATTCTAGCGCTCTGAATCATCAACCTATAAATCACTACCTGCATTGTGAGATGCAGGCCCCCGGCAAAAGGGACGTCAGTACATTTGAATTGTACTGGTATGTAAAGCAACTGAAAGAAAGAATTATAAATACTGAAACTGAAACTAAGCTGATAACTGAAATGATAACTACTGAAACTGAAACTGAAGTGAGAACTGGTAACTGAACTGATAACTGAAAAGATAACTGATAACTGAACTAATAACTGAAAAGATAACTGATAACTGATAATTGAACTGAATAAAGGAAGTAAGGATATGAATAAACCCTCCTCGGAATGATGAACAACTTGTTTATCTGAATATTAAACTGCGGCCTCAGGCCCAATATATATATATATATGCACAACTGCAGCCTCGGGCCCAAGTATACGTATACATAACTGCGAACTCAGGTCTAAAATGCATAAAGCATAAACTTCGGCCTCAAGCACAAAGATGCATAAAGCATAAACTGCGGCCTCAGGCCCAAAGATGCATAAAGCATAAACTGCGGCCTCAGGCCCAAATGCAGGTGTTCAACATTCAGGAACTGAGAATCATACTACAATACATGATAGTGAAATACTGAATTACACTGAGTTACATGATACTGGAATACTGGATCACACTGAGTTACATAATACTGGAATACTGAATAGGACTAGACTGAGACATGTACTCTTGAACTGATTATGGACACTGAAACTTCAACTGTTTATGGCATACTAAGTAATCTATACTGAGACTCAGGGACATCAAACCCAAGTCTATATTGAATACGAACTGAGCTCACAACGTTCAGAATGAAAGTCATGAACGAGTTATGAAGCTAGAGAATAGAAGTTCTGCAACTATTCAAGGAATTAGGCTTAACTATATTTCTGAGACAATTTGTAACGTCGTAAAAGAAACGTAGTGTAGGGAGAATCATTAAAATTCCCAAACATAGAGAGTTAGCCTCACATATCTTAACTTCCTGCTCTTGAGCGTAATACAACATTCGTCAACCCTTTCAACTTTAATCTATATCAATACAAGTCAATGGGATTTCATATTAGCAATAATACTCATATTTTAGTCACTTAAGCATTTTCTCAAACACTTGGTGACATAAAGCTTCATAGTCCTTATTAATGGTGTCTCTACAACCAATAACCCATTCTCTTGATCCTAGATAAATTCTAAAATCTCAAATCTCTTACAACCAATGTCTTTCTTCTTCACCCATAAGATAAACAACACCTTTAACCAATAATAAACAATCAACAAGCCAAACCTATAATTTTTCATGCTTTTCTATCAAACCCATCAACTCATTTCTCATGAACTAGGGTTTATAATCATTAAACTAATGCTAGAATCAATTAGAGGGTGAAGATATTACCTTCTTGACGTTCAATCTTCTTGAATTCGAGTTCTAGGGTTCCTTCTCTCAACAATGATGACCCAATCGAATATCTAATGATATGGAGGGTTTACTCATATTAATAAGATATTGGAAAATTAAAATTCACTTAGAATCACCATTAGAACTTACCTTGGGTGGTGGAAGGACCCTTAAGGAGTTAGGTTTTTGAGAGTTCTCCTTTCTAGAGCAATTTTTTGTATTTAGGGGCTGTGAGGGATGAAATATAGCTTTAAAACGACCCCCCATGAGCGCGCCCGCGCACCTTGAGACCTGCCCGCGCTACTGACCGCACTAAACGGCAGTAACACTGCCTCAAAATTAGTGCGGTCGCGCTATGGGCGCGCTACCGTGTGCGCATATCGTATACTGTTCTGTAAAACGCGTATAACTTTTTGCACAGAGATCCGTTAGGGCTCCATAATATATCGTTCGAAAGCTATTTCAAAGGCCTACAACTTTCATACTTTGCATTTTCCCAAATTCCTTATACATTTTCAATAAAACCTGCTGGAAGATAGACCTTCTGCGAACTTAGTTGATTTTGTCAAATCTTATGCACCTCACTTTCCATCTTGATTTTGAAACAACTATTTTATCCCATAATCATCCCTCTAGGACTTCATATGTCTAATATATCAAATTAATACCATTTCACATATCCACACCTAGTCCGAATGTACGGGGTGTTACATTATCTCCCCCTTGGGATCATTCGTCCTCGAATGATTGTCCTGACTGTAACTTCTGCTAACTCTGGACCTTAAATGGGTCTTGTGGAAACATGAACTTTCACTAACACTTGTATACTAAACTGAATGAATACATGATTACTGAACTGTTGCGATACTGAACTGAATGACTACTGCATTGACTGAATACTGGTCTGCCCTAGATACGTGAATACTGAACTAACATAGGTATATGAATATTGAACTGGCACGAATATTTGAGTAATCTGAGTACTAAGCTGGCATGAATGTCTAAGTATTGGACTAACATGAGTAGCTGAGTATTGAGCTGACATTAGTATATGAGTACTGAACTGATATGAGTATCTGAGTACTGAACTGACATGAGTATCTGGGTACTGAACTGACATGAGTGTCTGAGTACTGAACTGACATGAGTATCTGAGTACTGAACTGACATGAGTATCTGAGTACTGGAAACTTGAATGTTATAACATGATACGTGAAATACTGGTTGTACCACCGCTAATGCTGGTGGCAACTCCACCTCATAAGCTATTTGACCGATCTTCTGTAAGATCATATACGGCGTGATATATTTGGGACCGAGATTTTCTATCTTCCCAAATCTCATAACGCCTTTCATAGGTGAAACTTTCAGAAACACCCAATCATCAACTTGGAACTCTAACATCTTCAAACGCTCTTGAATCAACTTAACTTTCTCTATAGTCTGATAGACCAAATTTGGTCCCAACAACTCTTCTTCACCAACTTTGAACCAACCAATTGGCGATCTACACCTTCGCCCATACAGAGTCTCTCACAGTGCTATCTTGATACTAGAATGGCAGGTGTTATTATTAACAAGGTCAATGAGAGGTGTGTGATCATTCCAATTACTTTTCGCATCAAGGACATATCCTCAACCGTTTGAATAATGCGCTATGCCTAGCCATCTTTCTGAGGATGAAAAACTTATGCCTAATGACTTCTGAAAGTTCATTGTAAACTTAGCACCATAGTCCGAAATGACGGACCACGGAGTCCCATGCAATTAGACGATTTCCTAAATGTATAACTTGGCATAATCTTCTGTTGAATCTGTAGTCTTTATTGGCAAGAAATGTGATGACTTGGTGAGTCGATTGCGACCATCCAATCAAATCATGATTTTAAAATGAGCAAGATAATCCCGTTATAAATTTCATATTTACCATCTCCACTCAAAATATGTGTATTCTGTGATAAAATACTAGGCTTTTTGCTGCTCGACTTTCACTTGCTGACAATTAGCCGCAAAGTCTGCGACGTTCTTTTTCATGTCGTTCAACCAATAAATCTCCTTGGTCATGATATTTTGGGGAACCTGGATGGAAAGAATACCAGGAATTATAGGCTTCTAACATGATCTTCCCTTTTTAAGTCCATCTATGTCTGGAAAACACAATCTGTCTTGGTACCTCAAAGTACCATCATCTCACCCTTATTCAAAAGCCATTGTTTTATACTTGTGAATCTCCTATTTCAACTGTAACACATAGACCATCAAATTGTTTCTCCTTCTCTTCGGCTACTAAGGAAAACAAGTCCTTTTCTAGACAACAACTTTGTCATCTTCGGAGTCCGAAGTAGAACTCCCATCTTGGTTGGTGCACTTCTTTTACTAGAGTTATCTTATCTACCTCAATCATGAGTTATACTTCCCACACTTTATCTTTTTAAGCACTTCCTGAAAACACTTATAGTATTATTGCGAGCTAAGGCTTTGACTTGTATTCCAAAATTAGAGTCTCGTGCAACGCCACTACCCTCATAACACATAAATAGGCATGGTTTTACAGCCTTTTGTGATCATTTTATCATCAATAACTAAGCTCGGTGATCATTCTACTCAATTGATGTTTCTTACACATGCTAGACATATTCCTCGTGGAAATTATACAACTTTTCCTCATTACCGAACTGATTTTCTTTTTCATATCCCATGCTAACTATTCGGGTTTCAAATCACTAACTGGACTTACTAAAAACTTTCACATCACCCCTTAGACCAAAGGTCTTATACTTGCGGATCCTTCTCTTTTTTTAGGGATCCTAAATACTTTCCTATTTTCTGNTACTTCCCACACTTTATCTTTTTAAGAATTTCCTGAAAACACTTATAGAATTGTTGTGAGCTAAGTCTTTGACCAGTACTCCGAAGACTAGAGTCTCCTGCAATGGCACTACCCTCGTGATACATAACTGGGCATGATTTTATAGCTTTCTATGATCACTTTATCATCAATGACTAAACTCGGTGATCATTCTACTCACTTGTTTTTCTTACACATGCTAAACATAATCCTTGTGGTAATTAT